TTACGCTAAGGCTCCTCTCGAGGCGACAGTGTCCGCTAAAGCTCCTCCCGAGGCGATGTAGACCACTAAAGCTCCTCCCGAGGTGACGGCATCCGCTAAAGCTCCTCCCAAGGCAACGGTGTCCGCTAAAGCTCCTCATGAGGTGATGGTGTCCGCTAAAGCTTAAGCTCCTCCCGAGGTGACGGCGTCCGCTAAAGCTTCTCCCAAGGTGACGGCGTCCACTAAAGCTCCTCCTGACGTGACGGCGTCCACTAAAGCTTCTCCCGAGGTGACGGCGTCCACTAAAGCTCCTCCCGAGGTGATGCCGTCTGCTAAAGCTCCTCCCGAGGTGACGGCGACCGCTAAAGCTTAAGCTCCTCCCAAGGTGACGGCGTCCGCTAAAGCTTAATCTCCTCCCGAGGTGACGACATCCACTAAAGCTTAAACTTCTCCCGAGGTGACGGCGTCCACTAAAGCTTAAGCTCCTCCCGAGGTGACGGCGTCCACTAAAGCTCCTCCCGAGGTGACGGCGTCCGCTAAAGCTTAAGCTCCTCCCGAGGTGACGGCATCCACTAAAGCTTCTCCCGAGGTGACTGCATCCGCTAAAGCTTGGTGACGAGGCGATGTCGACTGCTAAAGCTCCTCCCGAGGTGACGGCATCCACTAAAGCTTAAGCTCCTCCCGAGGTGACGGCGACCGCTAAAGCTTAAGCTCCTCCCAAGGTGACGGCGTCCGCTAAAGCTTAATCTCCTCCCGAGGTGACGACATCCACTAAAGCTTAAACTTCTCCCGAGGTGACGGCGTCCACTAAAGCTTAAGCTCCTCCCGAGGTGACGGCGTCCACTAAAGCTCCTCCCGAGGTGACGGCGTCCGCTAAAGCTTAAGCTCCTCCCGAGGTGACGGCATCCACTAAAGCTTCTCCCGAGGTGACTGCATCCGCTAAAGCTTGGTGACGAGGCGATGTCGACTGCTAAAGCTCCTCCCGAGGTGACGGCATCCACTAAAGCTTAAGCTCCTCCCGAGGTGACGGCGTCGAATTAAACTCCTCCCGAGGTGACGGCGTCCACTAAAGCTCCTCCCGAGGCGATGCCATCTGTTAAAGCTCCTGCCGAGGTGCGAATGCGTCCGCTAAAGCTTGGTGACGAGGCGATGTCAACTGCTAAAGCTCCTCCCGAGGTGACGGCATCCACTAAAGCTCCTCCCGAGGCTTCTGCTACATCCACTCCGCCCTGGCTCCCTGATATGCCTCCATCTCCAGTCCTGCTTCTCCACGGGCCTGGCCCCCGATCCCCCCCCCCTGATCCACCTCCACTCCATCACCCTCCTATACTTTTGTTTGTTCTTGGAGCATCTGGAATCCGTTCATGTGGGGGCCTCTATCATGATCTCTGTGTTTGTCTTTGGACTTTTGTTTCACTTCCTGTTCTAATGTGCCATAGTTGTAGTTTTGTAGTTTTTAACCATGATTTGTCCTTGATTGTTCTCACAGTTGCTTCATGTTCCAGCCTGTCATATGCTTTGTTCCTGAATGAATCAGCTGTCTGAACAAATCAATTGAATGAATGACTCAGTGATTCACTCGTTAACAGTGACTTGCCTCTTCTGTGCCACCACCTCTGCATTGGAAAGGCATATTTGTTGATACTGAGTTCATTATATTGGTAACAGCCCATTAGTGTCTTATTGTCCTAATTGAAGTTATTGATTAAATATAAGAATTTGACATACAAGATGACAGACATTCAATTAAAATGAGCATTCAGGTTAGAAAAAAAAATTCAAAATCAAAATCTATTTAAAATTATTGGAAAAGTCACTTCTTCTAACAAACTACTGCAGACAATATGAAGAATATAAAAAGTCTCCTGTCCTAAGCTTGTCAATTTACCATCACAATAACACACTAAATAAACATTGTCTATCATTAACAAAAATGCCAGAAAATATCGGGATCATTTTTGTCAGTATCACACAGCACACCCCTATGGGAGTGTAAGATGGGTTTCAAACTAGTTGTGTTAATTTTCTCTTGTTCATTTCATTAAACTGCAAAAGGCAAACATATTTCACAATAGTATGACTCTAAGCTTTCCTCCTATGTGCAGCTTTTTGAATAATCTATATAATTATGAGTGCATTCATATCAGGAAATATGCGCGACTGACAGCAGCTGATCTCTGGAGGCGAAAGGGAGCCGCTGGGGTCAGATTACCTCAATGTTCATGAGAAAACATGAGTCTGACTTAACCGTGAGACCGTCATTCTCCATTCACTCACACATTCGGTCACAGCCTTAGGACACATTTCTGATACACATTGCCAATGCAATTTCTGATACACAGAACCAAGCATGAATCGCAACCATAATATTTTGGTTATAGGTCACAGTTTTGACTGATACTTACGTCAAGCAACAGTGTAATTTTATACATTCAAACAGGGTCTTGTTAAAAGCGGAAGTGGTGAAACAAGACTTGGCCGGCCACATTCTATTTCTCAACCATTCCAGCTGTCATCCTTCGTCTCAAAAACAGCCATTAAATCATCATAAATATACTTCAATTGCCTCAAGTAATTATCTAAAATGGCATTAGCTCTAAAATCACTGTTTGACTGATGTAATGCTGACTTGGAAGAAATGCAGAAATGAGATCAAGCATTCTTTGAATATTTATGGCACTTTCCACAAACAGGGTACCTTTTTTCAAATATCTTCAAATACTGCATGAGCTGTTTTATTTTATATTAATTTTACATTTATATTTAGGCTATGCATTGGCAGATGTTTTTATCCGAAGTGACAAATTGCATTCAAGCTAATAATTTCTTCAATTCAACCCCTGGGAATCAAACCCATGACCTTGGCCAGAGATGGGAGATAGCAGGGTCCACGGCTCTACCATTGGAGAAAGCGTAATGTCATCTTGGATCACTTGTGTCTTGATAATCAATCACATTACAGCCTTGACGTCACTAGAGCTATGCGACAGTCAATCACTGTTTGGGTATTTTTAATCCAATCGCTATAAAACTCTGCTAACCCTGTTAGCGCTGTTAACCCTCTAATGCGGTGCCAAACTTGTACAGTTTAAAATGATGGGGTGTTAGAATGTTACATCCAGATGCTTAGCAATCAACAACCAATCACATGCCTCATATTCACCTGATTTTGACAGTCACGGAAACACTGCACATTGTACATAAAAGCAACTTCAGAGAAAAAAAAATGTAAAATGCTGACAGAAAACTTAACAATTGGAGTGATGAAGAGACCTTTCATTCATACCTTTATAGTCAGAAACGTCCATTAGGTATAAACTTGATAGTAAAGTTGCCACTATATAATACGAGGATGCGCAATGCTAAATGTAAACATCTTGCGTGCGGTGTTTGTGCAACCAGTAACACTGACACCACAAATATGCAAATAAGGATGTTAACCCTGTATTCAGTGCGAAATTACATTTTATTAAATCCCAGGATCACTGTTAACCCCACATAAATTATTATCATTGTGAAACATGAAGTAAAAATAACCCCGGATGGAATTTACCCGGGGTTTAGAATGACGTACACTATTTCAAGTGTGAAAAGCCCCAATAAGGGCACTTATGAATTTGTGAAAATAGTTATGATTTGTCATGAGTCGGTTGGAAGGCCTCAAGTCCAAGACTCTTTAAGGGCAAATATATGATGTTTTATAAACTTGCTTCTTATTCTGAGTTAAAAGAACATAAGACAATCATTTACTTAAAATAATGATAATAGTTATCCCAATAAAAAAAAGTTAGGGGTTGGTGTGTCTAAGGCTTTAAAAAATGTCATCAGACAAAAGTGTCCTGTATTCAGAGTGTAAACTCAGAACAACTAGCTGAACTTGAACTAGTTTGATGTGATTTTTGAAACATCTTTTGAATTATCCTGCAGTGACCATGTCCCTCCATATATCTTCCTTTGTGTATGTTGTATTTTGCTGTGTCTTTTCCCTGTCAACTCTTGCCACACATATTTGTGCAATAATCTTTCTAAGAGCAGGATTCTGTCTGTGACAGATCTTGGAGATGTATTCTCTCTCTGTGCGATCAGTCTAGGAAATGTAATCTCTCAGCCGAAACTAGGCCATGGCGTGATTTCACATTTGTTACACCGCCAATAGCACACGGCCTGTCACAAAGAGCATCCATTTATTATGCTGTCCCTCAGGCACTTCTGTTTTAACAGATCACCTTTAGAGCTCATCTACTCCCCTTGAAAGCACATATTTCATTATGAATTGTTTTAGGGGTCACATCATATTAAGGACCCTTTTATCCATATATTGTTTGCTGGGATGCTTTTAATAATGGATGGCATGATACATTGAAATGGTGTCAGACTGAAGAACGAGGTGTTATGCAAGGAAGTGAAAAAAAAAAAGACTGGTAGGGATTTTGGTATGGTTAATGACTAAAACGGATTGAATTTTAAAATGTAGCATCTTTAAAAATAAACTTAATGTATTATTCTTTTTTACATTGTATTATTTTTAGCATTTGAAGAAAACACCATTAATTACATTTATACGTTTTATCCATTTTTTAAAAAAATAAGAAGATAAAAATTGCATGAGATGTGAGACATGAAATATAACCCTCTTCTCTGAGGTGAATATATCTGCTGTGCTCGTCACAACAAGTCGTTATCATGTTCACGTCTGTCAACTGTCATTCTGACTGTCATCAGACAACTGGAGTTTCGGTCCATAGATATTTATCTTGGTGAAGAAGTAGATACTTTTTTGAGATTTCTAGGAGTTTTATTAATCTTGATTTCTCACAACTTGCAAGAGTGTCTATTCTAATACCACATCTATTTCTATTACCAGATTTAAAAAAAAAAAAAAAAAAAAATCTCCTTTTGTGGTACGAAAAGGAAAGAACGGCATTAGAACACCAGGGCGTGTAAATGACTTCGTGACTTCACACAAAAAGGTGGGGCCAGTGAAAATGTGTATGGTAAAAATACTGACCCAACTGTGTCTTATTGTTGAGCCCAGCTGTATATATTATGAACCGTTTTTCGAAAGGGGTTTGTTGCATTTAGTACATTGGAATGAGTTGGAGTAAAGCACCTGTTGGTCTGAGCCAGTTATTTTCCACCATGACAGTAAATAAACAGTCCACCTGCTATCAGTTAGCTCAGTGGTTGAGGCTTGGGAAAAGAGAGAGTAAAATGGGCGGTACCTTTTGCTTCAGGGAAGGACATACATCTCACATCTGTTTCCGTTTCACACCCAGCTTGCCTCTGCTTGTGTGCGTATGTTTCTATTTGAGAACTAATGTGTTTTTGGGCTTTATGGGGCTGGATCACCTCCTTGGCAGACCTGAATCTATGGTTGCAGAGAGAAGCAGATGACAAAGGAGTGCATGATGGGACAGGTTTACCATGGAGAAGGTTAGATTTTAGATAAATACCAAGATCTAAGGGTACATGTGTATATGAGAAAGCAGAAGTGTGTATCAAATGTACATTGTAGTGCTAACAGAGGCTGACTGTGATAATTACCATGTCTGTTAATTTTTTGCTTGAGTATACTTAGTTATTTAAAAGCAATTGGTGAGATTTTTTGAGTTTGTGATGCGTGCTCATGTACATTTGTTCATTCTGCATGTGTAATTCAAGTATTTTTGTTTGTTGAAAAGCAAGTCAACAAGTCAAAGTCAAAAATAAATCAAAATGGACCCTGTTACTTTCATAATAAGGTTACTAAAACTAAAGTTTTTCTTTGTACAAAACAACTGATTTTGTCTCACATAATCAAGGTCATGTAGCTACAGTAACCTATTTTTACAGGAGACTTTATTTTAGGGGACAGCTGTACGTAAAGCAGCCTTTTTCTTACATTTTATTCCAGTTAACATTAATGTAACTCAAGTTACAGCATTAATAACAAATAACGACAGAAGTTTGATCATTGGGATGCATTTAGGAGCTCTTGTTGTGGAACTTTACCTTCGGCTTGCGTGCCCTTGTCAAAAAGTCTCCTCAAAAGTGGGTGCCAGCAGTGTTTCATTCAGGTCTGAAATCTGATCCTGGAATGCAATGCCCACTTCTCACAATCCAATCAATTCCTTTTGGACAAAATAAAGTCTTAGATTTTTTTTCTCATTGTATATTCTGATTTACTCAGAAACGTCACATTTACAAAAGGTAAAACTTGTAATATTACATGTATCATAGCATTAAGTTAAGAAAGTGAGGAACTGTAAAGTGATTAATGTTTAATTTGTGAGAGCATCATCCAGTAAAGAAGGTTTAACATCTCTCTATGATGGAAACTTCATGATTGATTTCTCTTTTTCTCTGTTTCATGATTACTAATGTCTCTTTTATTTTTACCTGCAGGAACGTGGGCCTTTAGCTGCCTCACTGGCGTATACAAGGAGGACGATCTAGTACGCAGTCGCCTAAAACAATCCACAAGAACAAAGGTCTGACATTCCATCGGTCGTATAGTGTCTGAAGAAAATTAAAGGAGGTAGGAGTTCTCTACAGATGAATCAGTCACAGAAACACAGGGAAGCACACTGGACGCCATGACGGAGGAGAGTGAAGGAATTTTACGATTTCGACTTTCTCTCGATGAACATTGACAAGTCCACTTAAAGCCCGCCGTGCTCAGGGGAGAGAGTCCCCTGATATGAACCCCAAGTCCTTGGGATCTCAAAGGCAAATGCCCTTATGCCAGGGCCTGAGTTGGTCTTCCACCATGTCATGGTAGCATTGTACGCCAAAAATCAACCCTTGGAAAAAAAAAATCAGAAACTGTAGACTTGAACAATGCAAGTTGTCTAACACCAATCTGACAGAAAAAAGCTTCCTCTAGTCTCTGCTCAACTATATCAACACATATTGTTTACATTGCATACTTTTTATAGCTAACTCTCTCACTCCCTGGGATTACCGACTCAAGTCCAGGTACAGTCAACCATGGGGTGCCGGCAGAGTTCGGAGGAGAAAGAGGCCGCCCGACGCTCACGGCGCATCGATCGACATCTCCGCTCAGAAAGCCAGCGGCAGCGGCGTGAGATCAAACTTCTGCTGCTCGGCACTAGCAACTCTGGCAAGAGCACCATTGTGAAGCAGATGAAGATCATCCACAGTGGAGGATTCAACCTGGAGGCATGCAAGGAATACAAGCCTCTCATCCTCTACAACGCCATCGACTCACTCACACGCATCATTCGTGCCCTCGCCACCTTGAAGATCGACTTCCACAACCCAGATCGAGCTTACGACGCAGTGCAACTCTTTGCCCTCACCGGGCCTGCTGAGAGCAAGGGGGAGATCACACCAGAGCTCCAGGGCGTGATGAAGCGCTTGTGGGCCGATCCAGGGGTCCAGGAGTGTTTCTGCCGCTCCAATGAGTACCATCTAGAGGACAATACTGCCTATTATCTCAACGACCTGGACCGCATTTCTGCGCCAGAGTTCATCCCAACCGTTGAGGACATTCTGCGCTCTCGTGACATGACCACTGGCATTGTTGAGAACAAATTCACCTTCAAGGAGCTCACCTTCAAAATGGTGGATGTGGGTGGCCAGCGTTCAGAAAGGAAGAAGTGGATCCACTGTTTTGAGGGTGTGACTGCCATTATATTCTGTGTGGAGCTCAGTGGCTATGACCTCAAGCTTTATGAAGACAACCAGACGGTAAGGATAGCCCAATTTTGTATTCGGGTCATTGGTGCAGCGAGATAATGCAAGAACAGATGAAACCAATGTTATCTGCAATGGGCTACATACATATTTACAATAAATTCATCCTGTCCGTGGCACTGACAGACAAGTGCTTTTAATCATCTCACTTCCACATTTCCTGTAGCACAGAAACTTTCAGTTACATTGAAGCTATTTAGAGAACTAACCCTGCTCAAGAACATTATAGCTTGTTGTGTTTTAAACACTGATATTCTTACCAGTTGGGGACTAAACTAGCTTAACTATGATGGGGACCCTCAAACATCAAGGCATGATGGGGACACTATACTGCCAAAAGAGCACCATCCTTGTGATCGCTAAAAATCCCAGGATGTCCTTCGGAAAAAAAAAGAGTAGGGGTTTAACCCCGGCATTCTGGCCAAATTTGTCCAATGGCCTCTGTCCATCATGGCCTCATCAATCATCCCCACATATACTGATTGGCTTTATCTCTCTTTCTTATCTCCACCAATAAGCTGGTGTGTGGTGGGCGTTCTGGGGCAATATGGCTGCCGTCGCATCATCCAGGTGGATGCTGCACATTGGTGGTGGTTGAGGAGATTCTCCCTTCCATTTGTGAAGCCCTTTTTAGTACCCAGAAAATCGCTATATAAATGTAACTAATAATTTTATTATTATTAAGACTACTTTGGTCATCTAGCTTCATCAGAAAGACAAGCGGCAAACCTTGCCAATGCTAGGTGGTTTACCAACTTAACCAGTTTCCTGTTCAGCGACATAACTCCCTGGCTAACTACCATAGTATGATGCATAGCTGCTGCACAGAAGAAGAAGAAGAAGAAGAAGAAAAAGAAGAAGTAGTTTTATTTACAGTATATAGTGCCTTTTCGTGGCTCAAGGTCGCTTTACATTGTAATTTATGATACATTTATACAATTACACAAACATTACAGCATGAATTAAGGTTTCACTGTCAGCTAAATTTTTTTATGTATATGAGGGCCAAAAGATAGAGTTGAGTCGAATAAGACACCAAGACACGTGCCTTAGAGCTGGTGGGGAGATAAATTTGAATGTCATCAGCATAGCAATGTAATTGAAGTCCATGTGTGCCTATGATGTTACCAAGTGGATGTATGTAGATGATGAACAATAGTGGACCAAGAACTGAACCTTGAGGAACACCCTGTGTAAGTGAAGCACTGATACAACTATGACCTAGTATGCTGATGTAATACTTTCTGTCGCTGATATAGTAAATGAGCCAGGAAAGAGCGGAACCAGTGATGCCAATATCAGAAAGCCGAGAAATAAGTAATATGTGGCAGACTGTGTCAAAGACAGCGCTTAGATAGAGGAGCATCAAGATGTTTATCAACCCTGAATCGATGGAAAAAAGAATGTCGTTAACTACATGGAGAAGAGCTGTTTCAGTGCTGTGAGATGGGCAAAAACCTGACAGAAAAGGTTCGAAAAGACCATTTATATCCAAATAAAATTGCAGTTGCAAAACAATCTTTTTAAGGATTTTGCTTAAGACTGTTAAATTAGATATTGGTAGTTGTCCATGTTTAGAAGTCCTGTTATTTTTAAGAATGGGGGTCTCCACAGCCGTTTTTAGTTCTGCTGGGACAATGGCGGAAGCCAAACTACAGTTTATCATATGTGTTATGAGGGGTGCAACCTCAAGGACACACATCTTATCTTAATTAACTAGCTAGTCATAAACGTTTCCCAAAACTATAGTAACTTTTTCACACATCCATCTTTCTAACCATACTAACAAGAAACTATGCTTCTAACTGTAGGTTGTGAGCAGTAAACAACTTGGCGATGCAGTTTGCAAAGGTTCATTGGTTTTGGGAAACACTTAATCATTGAACTATTTTGGTAATTACTGAACTTGCGACCATAATTAGTTGGCTAACGATGTATTTGGGAAATGCATCCCAGACTGGAAGACCACGGCAAATTAGCTTAGGCTTTTTTAAGCAAGGTGGACAACCATTGAAATCCATGCTTGCATAAGCTGGTCTTTGCAGCAGCCTCCCCGTTAATTAATTACAATTAAATTATATTTACAGAGTAAATTGTAATTGCCTCTGACGTTAATTAAAGGTGTGTTTGTGTTAAGGCCACTAATCTATATAAATGACTGTATTACTCATGATGACATAAAAAAAGTGAAGCCACCACGCCGTCATATTGGTATTCCCTGGTGTTCCATCACATTCTGTTGAAATAACAAGAACTCATCTCATTTTAATGAAACAACATACACTAACGAGTCAGGGTTTTTATATCTGTAGTCTCCCAGTACATTCTTACAACATCCTTCACGCTTAATATTTCCTGCACAAATGCATGCATAAAGGATTCTCTGTCGGATTTTAAAGCTGGTTTGAAACAGTCCATATTGCTAAAAGCGGTATATAAATGAGGGTGACTTGACTTTAATTTTCGGCAGTGTTGAGTAGACACCGATCCTAAACATTTGTAAATATTGCTTATCCTGCTCGAAAAGACCATAAAATTACAGATAAGTTTGAAGCATCAATACATGTACATAGCATACATGTATCTTTCAAACGAATCATGTGCGACTGATACGATGCAAATCGGGTGATTTTAGATCAATGTTTTGGCTGCAAGTCAATTAGGGAAACGTAAGATGGCCGCTCGAACATTTCTGTTGGCTTCACCACCTGATGGCAGTTTAGAACACGACGAGCAATCCAGTCATTTATATAGATCAGTGATTATTAAGATTTGGAATTAACTTTTAGAAACAGTCGCCTAACTGCATTTTCTCTCCATGTGCTGAAGCTAACTGCTTATCAGTGAGTTCATAGACTGCATAGGCTACCTATGTGCACTACATTAAACCTTTTCCCTCGACTCAAAACAAGAACTTCCAAGTGCATTAGCCTGGAATATCAATTAGCGTTGGGGAGTTAAAAATAAAAGTGTTCTGCGAGTCTTGTGAGGAGGGGAGGGGGGGACGTACAAAAGTGATAATTGAGTTCACAGTGCAAGGTGTCAGGGTGTACCCGCGAGAATTATCAGATTTAGCACTGGGGAAAATCACTGAAGTGATGGGGGTCAGAGAAGTTTTGTGTGTCTTCTGCTGGAAAGTTTGAAACAAAAAGGAAGTAACAAATCAAAGAGGAAGTGAGGAAAGTGAAGCAAGGAGTTAGTGCCTGGCTAAGGGAGTGGCGAAAAATAATACGTTGAAGGGGGAAGGGCGGACCTCCTCCAGTTACTTTGCCATCTTATCTAGTTGAAAACCATCGCAGCAGTTAGAGATAGCCTGAGGTCGTCTTCAAATATAATTTATTAGCTCTAGCCGCACCTGTTTACAAGGTGTGTTGCTCTTTTTCATGGTAGATTTGGATCAAATGTTTTCTTTGGCTTTAAAGTCAACATGATTTCAAAACGTATTGTTCTTTCATAACACAAGTTCCTGCTTTTACAGTATTCTGAATGATACTTTGATTAGCTTTAGGGTTTGAATATACTCAATATCCTGTTTTAGAAACATGTTATATTACGGAAGTAAAATAAAATAGCTGGCCAATGTCATTTAAATGTTGATTTTAAGAGAGACAGTTAATAAATATGATACATCAGGTCCTTCTGCCCATAAGACAGATGTTATTGCTGTGCCAAGTTTTCCTTCTTTTTTCTCCTTGACCATCTAGGAAAGCCTCATGGAAAATCTGGGCTACACAGGCCCTCACAACTCTTATAAACATACGCTAACAGCTAGAAGAGTGTATGTTTGAGCTCCAGGGTCTGGGGTGAGCCTCTGAATGAGATTACTCAATAAGCACTCATCTCTGAAATGGCCCACATGTGCTGCAGCTTGAGTGCTGCCAATCTCCTCTGGTTCTGCCAGCAAAGAGCAGAATTTCAAAAATGACACCCCTCGCCCTGCGAATTCACTCACTGGCACGCGTCTGATAAGGCAAGGGGGATCAGCGCAGTCACCGAGTGATTGAGTCAGAGTGGCAGCAAAGGGTTTTAAGCAATGCTCCATGGTCTTAAGAAAGTCTGCCTGAATGGGTTGTCAGGGTTGCCATAGGGAGAAACACAAGCATTATAGGAGCGATGATGCTCTGAATGTTGATAATAGGAGAAAATCTTGGTGACTCGTGTGTTAAATAGACAATGTTGACTAAGATGACAGGGTTGGGCTAGAACACTAAAACACTAAAAGCTAGCTTTTGCACTACAGTAATGTGTCTAGACAGACACTACTGTTGAACGCAATCCTTATACAGGAAAACAGGACTCTAAAACGTCTGGTTAACGCAGCATATTAAACCATAATGAAAATACAGCAACAGGCAGAAGTGTCAAGCTCACTCAAACAGATTTTTGGGTCAAGTGGATTTTGTATTGACAAAAAGGTCACAGTTGTTAGTCTTATATCTATCTACAGTATATATATATATATATATATATATATATATATATATACTGTATTTATAAGTTTGAACCCAGGTATACTATCTAATTCTTCAAGTGAAGATAGAAAATGTATTTAAAAGTATTTGGTCTTTGGTCTTGTCATATCTTACCTCGGGCAGGATGTGAGCCAACACTACTGCTGCCCCTTCAAAAAATAAATAATTAAAAAATAGCTACATGATGCCCATGGCCTCATGAAACATGCTTGTAAGATGTTCCAAGGCAAGTTTTCCATAGCACCGCAAACACTCCTTCCCCACAAAATAAATTATCTATGTATCCTCACTCTTGAAATTTTCATTTCCAGCTGCCGGAAAAAGCGGTTTCATTCAGGCTTAAAGGGATATTTAACCCAAAAAGGAAAATTCTGTCATCATTTCGCCCTCATGTCATTCTAAACATGTAATACTTTCATTTGTCTTCAGAACACAAAGGAAGACACTTTAATGAAATCTGAGATTTGTGCCCCTTCATTGACAACTACGTTCATAAAGAGATCGTAAAATGAATCCATATGA